CTCACTGGAGTGCAGTGGCACACACGCTCATGGCCACCCCAGCGTCAACCTGCTGGGCTCCGCAGGAGATCCTTCTGCCTCAGCCTTCCATGTAGCCAAACTACAGACCCATGCCACCATGCACACGGCTAATTTTTGATTTATTGTAGAGACGAGGTCTCTCCAAGTTACCCGGGTTGATCTTGAACCCACAGGCCCAGGCAATCCACTCTCCTTGACCTCCCAAAGTGCAGGGACTATAGGCTGAGCCACTAAGCCTGGCCTCTGGCAACTTTTAATCTATCATTTTATTATTATGTAATCCTGCTTTTTGTCTGTTTTTGCTCTGAAGTATAATTTATAAAATATTACTATAGCCATTTCTATTTTTTATTAAATCAGTGTTTGCATGGTATAATTTTTCCATTCTTTTCTGTCTACTTACATTGTTGAATTTGAAGTGGCTTTCCTCTAATCAGTGCGTAATTGGGTCGTGTTTCTTCATCCACTCTGCCAGTCTCTGTCTTTTGATTGGTATATTTAGTCTCCTTATATTTAAGGTAATTAATACTATGTTCAAGCTTATGTTCTTGTTCTGTTTCTCTCTTCCTGCCTTCCTATGAGTCACTTGAACAGTTTTTAGGATCCTGTATTAGAGTTCTCCAGAGAAACAGAACCAATAAGCTATATAAGAGAGGATTTCTTAGGGAACTGGCTCATGAAATTATGGAGGCTGAGAAGTCCCACGATATGCCATCTGCAAGCTGATGAAGCTGACGAAGCTGACTGCATGGTACAGTACAACTCCAAAGGCCTGAAAGCCAAGGGAGATGATGGTGTAACTTTCAGTCCAAGGCCAAGGTCTGAGAACCTGAGGGGCTGCTGGTACAAATCCCACAGCCTGAAGGCCAGAGAACCTGGAGTTCTGATGTCTAAGGGCAGGAGAAGATGGGTGTCCCAGCTCCAAAACAGAAATGAAATTTGTCTTTCCTCTGCCTTTTTGTTCTGTTCAGGCCCTCAATCAACTGGATGGAGGCCACTATATTAGGTGAGGGCAATTTTCTTTACTCAGTCTACTGATTTAAACTCAGGAAACACTCTCACAGACACACCCAGAAATAATGCTTTACTAGCTATCTAGGTACCCCTTAATCCAGTCACTTTGACATCTACAATTAACTATCACAGATTCCAGCTTGATTTATTTATATTGTCTTTGGTTTTCCTTTTATGTATAGGTTTCTAAGTGGCTCCTCTGGTTACAATATAAATATGTGACTTATAACAGCTACTTACTAGTAACAACATTTTCCCACTTTGAGTGAAGTGTGGAGATTTCACTTTCATTCAGGTCCTTTATATTCATTTAAATATCATCATCTTTAGTATCAGATGGTTGTATTTTTTTTTTTTTTTTTTTGAGTTGGAGTCTCACTCTGTCACCCAGACTGGAGTGCAGTGGCCGCTCCCGGCCACCGCAGCCTCGACCCGCTGGGCTCCAGTGATCCTTCTGCCTCAGCCTTCCACAGCTGGAACTACAGGTGTGCGCTACCACGTCCAGCTTATTTTTTGATTTACTGTAGAGATGAGGTCTCGCCAAGTTGCCCAGGCGGGTCTCGAACCCGCGGGCTCAGGCAATCCACTCACCTCAGCCTCCCAAAGGCGCGGGATTACAGGCTGAGCCACCGAGTTCGTATGGTTGTATATTTTTTATTCGGTTATCAAATATGACTGCTAAGACTCAGGAGAAAAACGACTCTATCCTTGCATGTACCCATATTTCTGCTCTTTCCATTGTCCCTTCTTACTTCTTAATGCTCTGAGGTCCCTTCTTTAATCATTTCCTTTCTGTTTAAGGAATTTCCTTTAGCTATTTTCGTTTTCTTAAGAGACAAAACCTTATTCAGTCATCCAAGCTGGAATACAGTGGCATGATCATGGCTAACTGTAACCTCCAACTCCTGGGCTCAAGTGATCCTCCTGCCTCAGTCTCCCAAGTAGTTAGAACTACAGGTACATGCACCTTTAGTCAGTTTTCAAGGATAGGTCTGCTAGCAACAAATTATTTTAGTTACCCATCATCCATTATTTTCCTTTAATTCCTGAGGGACAATTTTGCCAGATACAGAATTCACAACTGACAGTTCTTTTATTTCAGCACTTGAAAAATATTGTGCCACTTCCTTCTGGCCCACACAGTTTTAGATAAGAAATCTACTGTCATTTAAATTGGTGTTCCCTATAAGTAATGCATCATTTCTCTCTGGCTGCTTTCAAGACTTTGTCTTTAGATTTCAAGATTTTAATTATGACACATCTTGGTGTTTCATTGGGTTTATCCTGTATGGAGTTTGCACAGCCTTTAGGTTTGGTAAGTTTTCCACCATTATTTATTTCAAATACTCTTTCAGTCTCATTCACTCTTCTTTCCTTCTGGAAAGCTAACTATATGAATGTTGGATCTCTGTAACTGTCCACAAGTCATTTTTTTTGTACTTTGTTTTCTCTCTTGATGTTTAAGTGATTTCTATAGCTCTGCCCTCAGGTCTATTGATTCTATTCTCTGATCTACTGTACTATTGAGCCTATCCAGCAAGGTTTTTTTTTCCTGTTGTTTTTAAGTTCTAAAATTTCCATTTTGGTTCTTTTTACTTTCATTTTTAACTTGGTTCTAATTCATTTCATTTGGCTCTTTGCTGAGACTTCTGCATTTTTAAAATTTGTCTCAGGATAATTTTTAATTGATTTTGAAGCATTTTTATCATTTTAAAGGTTGCTTTAAAATCCTTGTCAGAAAATTCTACTATCTGATTAATCTTGTGTTGGTATCTGTTGTTTGTGTTTCTGACTCAAGTTGTGGTTTCCTCTGTTGATGGTATGACTAATGATTACCTATTGTATCTTGAACATTTTCTCTCTTATGTCAGTAGTCTCTAACATAAATTCCTATTACATTTTTAATTTTAGCCCGGGCACAGTGGTTCATGCCTATAACCCAAGCACTTTGGGAGGCTGAAGATGAGAGGACTGCTTGAGCCCATGGGTTCAAGACCAGCCTGGGCAACATGGCGAGACCTCATCTCTACAAGAAATCAAAAATTAGCCAGGCATTGTGGCGCGTGCCTATAGTACCAGCTACTTGGAAGGCTGAGGTAGAAGGATCACCTGAGCCAAACAGGTCGAGGCTGCGGTGGCCTTTGTATTTCAGCCTGGACGACAAAGTGAGACTCTAACTCGAAAACTAAAAATTTAAAAAGAAAAATTTAATTTTAACAAATAGTCACCCTGCTTAGTTTAGCACAAGGATTCTGGTCTACTTTTCTGGGCTATTATTCCAATGGCAGATTAACTTTCAGAGTCTTTGCAGTGTCATTTAGCCAATTTTGTTTATCTAGTGCCACTGAGCTCCTGCTGGTCCCTGCTGGCGCTGCCTGAGAGGGCAAAGAAGTTTCCCCAAGCCAGGCTGCCAGATATTTCTTGGTGGAGTACCTAGGTGTGGCAGCCCTAAGTTGCCCTCAACTTCCCCAGTGTCTCTGGAGTGGAAAAAGCAAGCTTTGAATCCAAAGAGACAAATGAGATTTCCTGCAATGAGCCACTTGGTATAGATAGGTCCCTCTTGACAGTTCCACTGACCTGCCCATGTCTCTGGGTACAGAAGAAAAGGCTCAGGCCCACTTGGTCAGAGACTATGTCCTTTTTGCCAGTCAGTGTCCACCCTGATGGGTCTGGGTTTAAGAGGAGAGTCTCAAATCCACAGGGACAAAGAGTCTCCCAAACTGGACTGCTACTATAGTTGAGTCTCTCTTTCTTGTTCTGCCTACGTGCCTTGGTAGAAAAGAGATGGCTCAGGACAGGCAAGGAAGGACAGTGCTTCCTTTCACCATGTACATATGCAGGGTTAGGGCAAGAGTTCCCAACTGAGACCCCTTGCCAATACTGTCAGGCTTGCCAGATGTTTTCAGGGGGACTTCTATTTGATTCAGGGAAGAAATGAGCCTACCTAGTCTGCACTCTGTTGCTAGTTCAGGAAAAACCTGATCTAGGTAGCCAACTTCTGTTAGGTGAGAGAACACAAGATGTTCTATGGCTATGCTGTTCTTCCAATCCTGTAGTCTGAAATCAGCTCACCTTCTTTTTTTTGAGTTGGAGTCTCATTCCATTGTCCAGACTGGAGTGCAGTGGCCACTCCCGGCCACCGCAGCCTCGACTTGCTGGGCTCCGGCGATCCTCCCGCCTCAGCTTTCCAAGTAGCTGGAACTACAAGTGCGTGCTACCACACCCGGCTAATTTTTTTTTTTTTTTTTTTTGATTTATTGTAAAGATGAGGTCTCACTAAGTTGCCCAGGCGGGTCTTGAACCCGCGGGCTCAGGCAATCCACTCACCTCAGCCTCCCAAGGCGTGAGATTACAGGCTGAGCCACCGAGCCCAACTTCAGCTCACCTTCTTATTATAAATGTCAATAATTCTCCTTGGGTATCTTTTATACCAACTCTAAGATTTATAGTTGTACTTAGCAAGGAGGAGCAGGGGAAAAATGAGTCTATTCCAACTCATTTGTAATGAAAATCTCCCTATGAGTCTGTTTCAATTATCTGTTTTTGCTCTTGATTTTCAGTCAGTTTTAAAATTCTTACATCTGATTTTTTTTTATTGAATGGCAGTCTAAGTTTTAGAAACATATATTTATTATATTAGAATAAAAAATATTTTACAGGGGACTCGGCAAGATGGCGACAGCGCAACCCGGCGTCTGAAGCCCTCTGCAAGGGAGATCTGCAGTGGGTCTCTGACTCTCGCCCCAGGGGGCTGGGGACCCCAGCATCGCAGCCTGCTCTACAGACAGAGCTCAGCCGCTGCCATCGGAACGACTGGACAGTTTTGACTGCATTCCAAACGGTCCCACCGCCGCCCCTCCCCCCACTGCCGCTGCCGCTGCCGGCGTCAGCACCACCGCCGCAGCTGCGGCCTCTGGGAGGGGTAGCATTTCGCACCATGCGGCCCGAGGAGATCCACAACGAACCGCTTAAGGGAAGATCTGCTGGGATCGCTGCCACCTATCCTGCGGCCGAGACTGTCCTGCCCACCCGGCGTGGGGCTCCTGTTGCCTGCTCGGAGGCAGGCAGCCATCTTGCTCCTGTCCGGCCCCACCCCCTCTGGGGCGAGCAGATGAGATAGCACCACCTGCTGGCGATTCAAGGGAGTAAACCTACAGCCCCACTGTACGGACAGATTCCAGGGCAGTGGGAAGTGGGTTCCACATTATCCACACGCCTGTCAGTGCATACCAGACCCTGCAGACAGATTTTGAATTACAGCTCTCGTCCTTAAATACATCTTCAAAACTGCAAAAAGGACCACC